GTTTGCCTCTTCACTGTTGCTTGCTGTCAGTTGTTGGTGTATCCTCTCGCATTCGTGTGTGTCCCTCTGCCTTGTCCGTCTTAGTTGGGGCAGTGCAGATACACCTGTGCCAGCCTAAGAAAGCTGCCTACTGCATCTCCTATACTATTTCTTTCACTTTCATAAACTTTTATCTATTTAGTTATTTAATTTGGGCACCTTCTAGTTACTGAGCTTGAGAGCCACGTAGGTACTGACCTGGATGCGGGGTGTTTCAGTATTCAAATGGCCAATGGGGACATTAGGACTGGAAGAAAATTAAATAAAGTGCTCTAGGAATGCAGGATACCCTATGAGGTATAAATTAGAACAGTTTTTTTTATGCCCTCCATAAAAGTTTGCTGTACCAGAACACTGGTCGCTAAGAATAGGTGAGGGAGAGTCAGACAGGAGCTAGGAATCAGAGGAGTATGGCCAAGTAGACCAGCCTTATGGCAGCAATATTTACGATACTGACTCACATTTTCGTTAAGTGGGATGACTTTTTTTTCCTCCTTGTGCCGGTTCTAGTAATAAATCATTTAGATAAACACTGATGCAAAACTTTTTGCTGGAAAACACAAACTCAGTTCAACAGAAAAAAAAATGTGGATCTCTATAAAATGTATTAAATTGTTGCGAGGAAAGAAAGTCCTGTCGTGCCAAAATAGAGGTGCTGTCTCGTTTCGATTCTTTCCTGTGCCATGTTTTGTCCTGGTACTTTCTTCTGTGATGTTTTCCTTTCTCTTTTTGAACTAAAGTTTTTCTTGGACAAATGTCAGAATTGATTTTTAAGGGAAAAAAGGATGGGGGGGGGAATCCTTAAACGCCTGCCAAAATGCAAGGGTTTGGAGGGGGGAGTGTAGACCGGTCAGGAGGAGTTTCGAGTTTTTGATCTTTTGTTTGCTTCATTTTGGGGCAACCTGAATTGTAATATACTTTGGCAAGCAAGCCCGAAAACGAGCTTTTCACACAACTTCGCTCTCACTGTAATTATTGTTGCATTTTTCTGAAACTCAGTGGGTTTTGTTTTGTTTTATGGGGTTTTTTTTCATCTGAATTTGGTGAGATTAGAAAAGGCAAAGTCCCAGCCGCTCTGTAGAGGCACAAAGGGGAGTTACTCGCACTTTCTATAGGAGGGCGATGCTCTTGCTGGCCACTCGCGCTGCCCGCTTGCACCGTTCCCCCTCTGGGCTGATTTCCACCTGTGAAAGTACATGCGAATTTTGTGTATATGATTTATAAGTAATATTTTGTCCTGATAAAGCCTCTTAGCATAGCCAAATATATATAAACTTCAGCATTTCCTCTCCAGTGTGTGCTTAGGCCGGCTTACAAAAGCAGTCTTGTGTGTGAGGCAGATACAGACTACGGATTTTTTGTTAGCAGTCCAGAAACAACCATATTTCAGTCATATTGTAGGGGTGTTGAAGCACACCTGTTGAAGCACACCTCGGCTGCATGGTGCTGTTTCTTTCTCCTTCCTTACCTCACTCGGAGATCTTGCTGCTGAAGCCAGGGGAGGTTGGCCTGGGACAGGGTTAATTAAGAGCTGAGCTAGAACGTGAGCGTGTGGGGCAAGGCCTCTGAGGAAGCGTTGGAAAGCAAGCACAGGGGTACGTGGTCCAGAACCAGGTATCTTTGCAACATGTAGCGCACGCTCGCCAGGGGAGAGACGGGAGAGCTGACTTGAGAGGATTCCCACCCTCTAAAACTTTGCTTTTGTATCCTTTAGGTCTATCCAAAAATGGGCTCAAATATCTCACACCTTCTCTAAAGGGCAGACCCATTCTTCTTAGTTTCTGATCGTAATCTAAATGGGAATTAAGAGAATATTTAGCCACAGAAAATATTTTGAGACTCCTTTCCTTTTCTTTCATGCTCCGGCCACTCGAAACCAGCTTTGTTTTAACATTTTGTGCTGAGGCACGTACGTGGTCCTGAGTAAGGGCTGATGGGCTTTGCTGGGAGAATATTTGGTTTTGAAATAAGTGTTATGAACATTTAAAAATTGTGTGCTGTTCATCCACAGCACATTATGTTCCCGGTTACTCTGCGCGCACTCCGGTGTTCTGAACAGTCATAGCTGCAGATATTTATTTGTGAGATCATTCTTGTAGCCACCCGCAAATTTACTTGACTCGACAGGCAGCAAACAGCGTGGCGATAAGGCCGAAGTTGGAGACTTTTATCAGTATGGCGTAAAGGCTCCTTTCAAGGTTTGGGCTGTTTCAGCTGAGGTTGTTGCTCAGCATCTTTATTAGCAAGAATAATTCCTTCTTCTCAAACTTCCCTGCCTTCAGCTCTACAGAGTGGATTATTCTATTTCAAAGTTGTTATAAACTCCACTGACAATAAAATACATATTTGGATGTCTCATGAAATAACTGCAATAAAGAGCTACAAAAAATAGAAATCCAAGTGCTGTGATTAATTGCTCTCAAAGTTTTGTTAGCATAACTTGAGAGCGGTGGAGCTATACCAGTGTTGTGCTTTGGCTTGGCTTTGTTTTGCCGCTTTCATCTGATTTTTTTGAAAAAGCCAGCCCAGTCCGCATCTATGGAGTACTTGGGAGGGTGATAGCCAAGGGATAAAACAGCTTGTCTAACACATGTCTTCATAGTGCACCAGTGTGGGGTCTGTAGACCTCGGCCCGGCTCACCACTGTCAAGAGAAATACGTTTTCCTACAGCGTAATAGGTTGTCCTGCTGCTTGCAGATGTCAGAGATCCCCAGCTCAGCTCTTGGTGAAAAGGTCTGCTCTCAGAAGAGGTTACTCTTTCATTTAACATTTCATTAGCGCGTAAAGCTCATGTAAATCTGATGTGGCCACTAAGACGAACAAATTCGGGTTTATTTTTGCCAGGATGCATGTGTTTATTCTGTGTCTGTATTAGTGTTATGGTGAGATGATATTTCAACCTAAACACCAATTTCAGTGGTTTACCACTAAAAAACTAGCTGAGTTGGAATATCAGGTACTCGTTCCAAAGTCAGAGGTGAAGCTTATATTATTTTGGAAAATATGAAGAAAGTCATAGTTACTTTTTCTTTCTTTCGTTCTTTTTTTTTTCATGTGTGTTGGGCAGTCACACTAAGACAGAAGCATTTTCTGATTAACTAATTACTGAAACCCATTAATTTTTCCACTCTCATTCTGTTTTTAATTTTTAGTATTTCTTCAATACAAAATGGAAATTATAAAGAGCTAATTTCCTTAAACTAATTAGACTTACAATTTTAATCTCACAAAACCCAGGAAATTCCACACGATGTTTTTTTGTAACTCTGCCATGTTGCACATGCCTCTCTCCTCTTTGAAACCCTTGTATTGGCCTTCAAAAAATCCTGGGAAAACACTCAACACTTGCCTGAGCCAACCTTGCCGGGCCAAACTCTCCTGAACTGCTGGCACTGCTAGGCACCCAGATCCAGATTTTGTGATTTGAGCTCATCTCTTTTGAAAATAATAACGTGGAATATCCAGACGTCTCTTTGTATGAACTTAAGATTTTAAAGAAAATTAGTAAATCAGAGTGATTCTGTTTCCACTGAAGCCAGCAGACGCCGAATCCACATCCTCTGGGTAAAATTTCTCATGGCACTTTCCAAAACTTGATTTTTGCTCAGATGGCCTTTTCAGTTTTGACCATCTGGAGAGCAAAAAGTTAGTTACATAGAATATTCTTTGTGAAGTCCTTTGAATAGCTTGCTTCACAAAACTTTTTGACCTGTTACTCTCAACTACATATCCCATAAAGCCTGACGAGCTAGCGTGAGAAATAGTTTGTGTTCCCTCCCTTTAGGAAAAAGAAAAAAAAAAGGGCTCTGTGATGATTTTTTTGGCTGGAGAACCAGGAAATACCAGTGAAAACTCTGTGTAGGAAGATGCCAGAGTCTTCTTCAGTGAGATCAGCTGTTCTTTTTATATATATGTATTTTGTTTGTGACTTTTTTTTTGGCTTGTTGAAGCCATATCCCCATAATCTTCAGAAGCCACAGAAAATTGTGCTGCCACAATAACCCTATACAGCTGGAGAGACCAAAACAGAGCTGATCAGAGGCAGCTTTTCCTCTGACAAGTCGAGCCAGAAAGTAGGTTTTGAGCTTTAGTTTGTGCCATTGCCTGCATATTGCAGGAGCACCAGGGTGTACACCACAGCAAATCTTCCTCTCTGCAGCCAGCCGTTTTTTTTCCTTTCTGGTCCAATCCTTCAACTTCTGTTTTCATGGTATTCTCACCAAAGCCTTGGCTTGGAAAGCATGGCAAAAAATGGATCCTTTCGGAGTCCAGTCCCTACTACTGATACAGTTAAAAATTAATCTATTGCTCATACCAAAAAAGAAAAAGGAAAAAAAAAAAAAGAAGGTTGTTATATAGCGGAAAGCAGAGGGGAACATTTTTCAGCCTTTTCATTTTGCATTATGCTCTTGTCAGATAGCATAAGACTGTTCTGGTGCCTGCTTTGGAGGACCTTTGTGAAACTCTGTCGTGCGGCACAAAGCAGAGTCAGGGAGCGAGAAGCACTCTTGTTTCTGATCAAAACCGACCAACTAATGATGACAGAAACCTGGGGAGATGTAGGTGCTCCCTTTTGTAGGAGATACAGAATAGCGATTCAGACCGCTGTTCAAGATTGCATAATGTCCTGGCTAAATTTCAATTAATGTAATTATATTTGGCCTCCTTGAATTCCCTTTGAAGTATCAGTGGGGTGCGGTAATATTCTCTTCCTGGCCTGAAACGTAGCATAAAGCTGTGGAGCATTACTAAGCAGCTGCCACTTCTCACTCCAGGGATGGCTGTATTTCAGTTTGGGCAGAGGTAAACCCTTTGGAAGTTCATCTGTAGCTACAGAATAGCATTAGCAAATGTTGCCCTTCGATACCTTCGTCTAAAGTGTTTTCTGTTAAAGCTAATGATATGAGCCTCTCCCCTCCACAGTCTGGCGACATTTGGAAGAATTATCTCCATTTTGCAGATGAGAAAAGTGAGGCACAGAGCTTTGGGGTGACTTTTCTAAGCGAACACAGCAAGTAACGTGGCAGAGCCAGGAAGATAACATGGGAATCCTGGATCCCAGTCCCGTGCTCTAACCGCTAGGAAACGCTACCCCTCTGAATGTAAGTTGTTGTTATTAAGATGTGGTTTATCTTTCATGTGAGTTGCCATCTGTTATATTGCCGACTTGCTGTTAGTTACTAAAGCTATTCACATCTTAAACCGTTTTGCATTTAAGTCTACAGTGGACTTTGACAACAGCAACAGCGTTTCTCCTGTGATAGCACTGGACAAATATTAACTCATATGTTTTTAGTAAATTTTTGCAATGCTACAGACCCACAATTTAGAGTGAATTTAAACAGACCTTGAAAAGCCTACTTGTTTGACGTCGGTTTGGTATCGTATCTGTCAGCTGTACCGTAGTTAAAACATGACTGTATATTCTCACAGTTATGATTACGAAGATAAATTTCCACATGGTAACTGAATGTAAATTGAGTCATTGATAACTTTATAAGTCTTGGGCCTGGCAGCTCTGTGGTGGCTAAAATCTTTCTAATATATAGTAGGAAAAAAATGTATTAATCTTGAGTTCTTGCTGATGCTTCTGGGGACCTCAGTGAACTCAGAACTCAGTCATTTCTATTGAAAACAGTCAGGGAAAGCCTCAAGCAGGAGCTGGGGGAAGGCCCGGGCTATAAAATGAGAAAAAGACCCTTGAAAAGTGCAAGTTGTTCTGTGCTTTGTATGGGAGGAGTGCCTTTTCCTAGATCCTCCCTGTCACGATTTGCGAGGCAGTTTTGGAGCCCTGGCAAGAGGGAGAGTGACCCTCCCAAAAAGTGGAGAAATGTCCTTGTAGCTGAAAAGGGAAGTTGTTGGTCAAAACTATGCAACATCTACTAGCGTGTGGGAACAAGAGGTGAGACAGACAAGCAAGTCAGATACACCCTGGACAGCAGTGTCTCTTTATCTTCAGAGATAGCTAGAAAGGACCAAGGTTACAGTCTCACCTTGATTCTTCTTGGAGGCAAGAAAACACTGTGGAATTTCTTGCCTAAACCCCTGTCATTTGGTTGAGCTAGGACATACCTTTCAGGAAGATAGATAATCCTGATTTAAAGACTTTAAGGGAAGGCACATGTATTTAAGTTGATTGTTTAAAGATTTTTGTATGTCCATGTCACTTTTCTGAATCTGAATTTGTCTAATAACAGCTATTTCTTCGTCTGGTGTATTAAGGAGCCCTCTGCTGTCAGAAATCTTCTCCCCATACCTGCTATTCATAAACTTTGCTTCTGTGGCTGATGGATGGTGAATTTTTGACACCCAGAGTGCAATTTGAAGGTATGGGAAGGTGATTAGTAGAATTTGAAATGAGATAAGAAGAACTATTAGTTGCAGAAGTAATAGGTGAAATGGAGAGGAGAAGCAGTAGGCAGAGACAGTGATTTCTTTTTCTCTTCCAGATTATGTGAGACAGAGAAAAAAAAAAAAAAGATTATGGGTAAAGGTTTTTAACCATCCTGTTACACAGAAATAAAGGAAAAACATAAGTGAAAAGGACTTGAGAACTGACACAGAAAACCGTGTGAAAGCAAAGCATTCTAGCACTTTAAAGGAAAAAGAAACAAATGTAGTCTGTAGTGGTCAATGAGGTCAGGATGGGGGAAATATTAGATTATGTTAAGAATGTAACAAAAAGAGTAACAGTAATTCACCTTGGGCAGTGTGGACTAAGGCCTCTGAATCAGTGGGTAGTTTCCTATCTCGCAAGAGACCGAGAGGCTTAGCTCATTATGGCTTTGAAAAGGCACTCCTTAATCTTTAGGTTAGTGGGGGACTGGTGCAGTTTTAAAAGGTCGGAACACACTCAGACTTTGTGAGAAAGACTGGCCAAATTTTCTGCCCAAGGCCCCTCTCTGTTCAGGATTAAAACTCCAGTGTTCATGGCGTAACGAAAGGGAAGGCTAATTAGAGGAGAGAAAGTTCTTTGCACATATGTGGATTTTTTTGGCTAACAACAGAGGAACAAAGGGCCAGAGTAAAACTTGCTTTGGGTAACTGTACTTTGATTTTTTTCAGGCTCGTTCTGTTCCAAATAGCCTTCTCAGTAGGGGCATCTTGCTTTGCTCTGGTGGCTGGAACACAGCGATTTGGACATGTTCCTTATTCCACTGCCCACTCAGGGCACAGCCGTGGACTCCCTTGCTTCCAATTACACCAGGCACCTCCTCACAGTAGCCAGTGGTTTCCTACCTCTGGGGCAGCTGAGAAGATTAGATCAATATGGCCTGTAAAATGCTGTGAAATCCATAGGTACAGGTAACAAGGTTGTGTGAATCTTTGATTTTCACACAGGTCCATATAAAGAAGTCCTGTGCCTTTGTTTCAGATTTTGGGTTATTTCTCTCTTGTCTTCCTTTACCTGGAAAATAATTTAATAACTCTTGCCGCTGGTGTTACAAGAGCACTGTGCCTGAGCGTAATAAATTCTCCACACACTGATGGTATTACTGCTCATTTCTTAAATCTTGATAAAATCCTATGGCCAAGGTAAAATTTGGCTAGCTTCTATTAAGAAAAAAAAATATGTACTTATAAAGGACTTGGATTTTCTTTTGAAAACACATGCCCATGTCCTAACCATTCTCGGTAAATAAAAAAGAGTGAGACAAAAGATCATTCTGAAGTTGCCATTGGAGGCCAAACACTGAAATGCTGCCAACCTGGACCGCGTAGACTAGCTTTTAAGAAGATATGAGCCTTTGTAGTACACTTAAAGAGGAAGAAAAAGCAACCCTTCAAACTGTCCTTGTATGCCTGACTTGTCTCAGATTTGAATGAAGTATGTGGAAGTGAATTCCACAACACTTGCTGCTTGCTAGAAACACCTATCTGGGTTTCCTTGTTGACTGATGGATCACTGAGTGTTGTATTCTGACATCTCTCAAAACAAGGCTATCCCCTTGTATGTGTGCAAGCAAAAGAAGAAAAAAAAAGTCTCAGAAAGAGCAAAAAGCAAAACTGTTGGAAACATGAGCATTGTTTCTAAACCCCTTTCTGCCTGTCAGTGGTATGGGAAGAATTTTCATTCTCTTTAAGGCTATTTAAAATATACTTCAGGGCTAAAACAACAGAAAAGACTATCTAATCCATTCTCAGCTTTGAAACCACAATGGGTAACAGATTCTGGTTGCCACATAGCATCCAGTGAGATAGATAGGTTACTGGAATTGGTCAAAACCGCTCATTACCAATTGCCAGAAAAGTAAAAAGAAAAGTAAAAAAGAAAGGAAAATGCTGTTCTGTTTCTTCCCATTATTTTTTTCTTTGCAGAAAAAAAGAGATTTTCTAAATTAAAGATACCTGTTTTTCCGTGATTTGAAATTCTGCTTTTTCATGTAATGAAATAGCAGAAAACTGTTAGACTGCTTAATTTTTTCGTTTAGACTTTGTGTTTCTGTTTCGATATAAAAGACTGTTCTTTCCCCTTCTGCCACCTCCCTGCTTTTCTTTGCCACATTCACACACCGACTCTTGGCTGACTCTCCTGGATGGCAGTTTCCCCTGCATACCTAACGGCTTCGCTCATTAGCATGGGCAAGGGCTGGCTCCATAAGTTGGTTGGTTTATGGTGAGACCATGGTAGGACCACTCTGGATTCTGGAAGTGACACTGCTCCTGAAGATAATCTTTGCAAAACAAGTAAGGAATATGATGGCATCACTTCTAATCAGGATGAATATTATCGTAGTCAGCAGTAGGTGTCACGGGCTATTTGGGTACATCATGGATCTGACACTAGAACACTTGTGTTCATAATGTTTCTGTCACTTACTCAATGCATGGTCTTTGACTTCTCTATTAGAGCTTGTTTTCTATGCTAGGACATCCTGACAGAGGTAATAAACCTAAATTTCATTCTTTCATTTGAGAGATTACATTAGGAGCTGTGTATATTTATAGCACCAATACTTGGGGGTGTCAGATCAACGCTGCCGTCTTGGTTTGAAATAGCAGTTATTTCCATGTTGAAGGGTTTTTGTTTGTTTGATTTTTGTTTTTCCAAAGCATTAAAGAGCAGCAGTGAAATCAGGGTGCTTGGTGATGATGAAATTAAAACCCATCAGTTTAGAACGGATGCTTATATTGCTTTTCTGTCTACCTATAGCACCGTTAGTATTGAGCTGGATAAAGTGGCAGTAGCATTAAGGAGGAAGCCTAAATGGACATTATTGACCAGATGGGTACAGCTGCTTTGTTACGCTCTCACGGTTTTGTTTTTGAGCTGTGCATTTCACTCTCTGGCAGACAGTTTTACTTAGAAGACTCTTCCCTTTTATAAGGTCTGTAGTCAATGATGTCCTGATCCCCCTGGGTAACTCTGCAGTTTAGTTTGGTCTTCTATAGGTCTTGTCCTCCCCAGGGGAAGTTGTGCATATTGCGATCACAGGTGACTTTGCTTCCTCCTGCCAAAGAGAGGTGGAAATTTGTCCCAAAGAGGTTAATCCCTGAGTGATCTGACTTGGTAAATGAATGTCAAGAAGTATTGCTGTTTGACAGAGAGTAAATGGTTTTTTACTGATTATTGATAGGTGCACATGGATGCACATGGATGTGGTCTGCAGGCCACCGACTAAACAGCCATGAGATTCATTAAAAATTAGAGAGAGTAGCTTTGATATTTCAAAACATAAAGTGCTCATCAGCCAGTGTGAGGAAATTATCTGTCCTGTTTGAATCTCATGTAGACCCTGAGCAGGTGTTAGAGGTGTTGTGCTTTTCATCAGAAACAGTGACTATTGACCACTGTAGGGGCTGCTTGAAGAACCATCAGTTTGATGAGACAAGGACATAGGAGGGATGTGTTGCTTGTGGCCAGACTGCAGGTGAATGAGGTAACTACGGAGTAAGCAGCTAAGAATGTGAACTTGATGTGTGGAGTGGGAAGCACTACTGATAGCAGGCAGATGGGTGGACTGATTGCGGCAACACTGGGGACAAACTCTTCTCTTTCATCGTCCCATGGTAAGGTTAAACCTGCTGCTAATAGTAATGAAGAACAGTTAATAAAGATCAGGTTCTGCTGAAGTGACGGCATCGGCATTGAGAGTAGAAAGTTTTGCAGATTTGTGTGTGTGTGTGAGTGTGTGCTTGCTAGTGGTGTTCCTGGTGGGTGGCTGAATCATCCTGATGGCATTCAACAGGAACCAGCTGCTGAGAATATTAAAATGCAAGCATTTATTCCTCTAGAGAGACAGTAGCATCTGCAAAGTTTTCCTGTCTTGATAGTACAGATAATCCCAGGGAGTATTCTCTAGTAGTTTTTAACTCTCTCTTCATTTATACATTTTCTTTAGAGCCACACATGCTTTGGGTCTGCACAGAAAGGCAGGCTTTGCTGCAGATCTGAGGCCACAGCTGCCCTAGGCAGGTAGCTTTCAAGCCCCCTGCTCAGGCTGAAGGACCGTGTGGGGAGAAAAGTAGAGAGGCCTTTGGCTCATTGCTCCACTTTTTTTTCACCCTCCTCTTCTCGGGAAGCACTGTCTGGGAAGCCTGTATGTGACAGAGCTGGAGTTGGCTCCCAGGCCATGGTTTTATAACTTTCATATCAATGGGAGACTGGTCAGAAAAAATCATTACAGTGGCAGGGTTAAAAATGTAAGAAAGAAATGTATAGATCTGACCAACTAGATTGTTGAACGTATTAAGTATTGTTCTCATTTGTTATTCCTGACGAGGAATATGTCACTTTACCGGCACCTAAGAGCAACAGTTTCTAGCCCTAAATTGCTCATAGTCTAGGGGACAGCTCGGGGGGAAACTGAGCACCGGGCAGCTTTCATTAATCCTGTCAGAAACAGAGAGTGCATTAGAAATCAGCTCTTACCAGTCATGCTGTGACACTGAAAGTCATAACCAAAGCATTTGAGGCAAGGGGAGAGGAAGATCGTAGCTACACTGACAATTTCTTCTGTTGAGTCTTTTGTTCAGCCATGTATTTTGCTGCTTCTTTCCTTTGAATGCATTCACGTGCTAACAGTATGTGAAATCACATACTAACAGTGTGGGAATATTAACACTACCACATACTAACAGGAAGGGAATAGCACGGATTCTACCTGCAACATATGGTGTGAGAAAAGGTGCAGAATTGTGGGGTTTTTTTTCTGGAGAAAGAGAAGCAGCTGCAAAGCTGGCGTGTAGAGGAGAAACAAGCTGGAGTCAGGCAAAGCTAGGTGGATGTTGTTTAAAAGGGACCATTAATTGGTGCACGCATCAAAGTTGCATTTTATTAAGGTGTTTTAGCATCTATGTAACTCCAAGATTATGAATAGTGAACTTATTTCGCAAGCATGTAGAAAGACATGCAGACTCCATTCTTCTTTCAGGCTGATTTATCACATATGAGTTATAAAAGCAAACTCTCCCACTGTAGCAAACCACCGTTCCCACTAACACCTTGTGTCATCTCCAGTCTTCCTCAACACTTGACAGGATGTGTCAACAAGTCAAGCTTTTGACAGGATCTTGCAGACACAAGAAGAGGGACTACAAACACCACTCTACAAAGTTTATTGATAGCATCTTTCGTGATGTGACAGGCCAAGGAAAGCTGTTGCAGGAGAGGTGACAGCAACCGCAGCACTTCTTAGCTGCTCCTGACTTCAGCTTCTCCTTGGAAAGAGCTGCTGAAACCTCTTAGCGGTGTTAGACATGGAGTTTAATCTCAGTGAGGCATCATAGTGATGATGCATACATCAAAGAGTCTGTTGTGCTTTCCCCTTTTTGTGTGAGTTATGCTTGCTCATTTGTTTAAAAAAATAGCATAATGATTTCAATGTTAAGAGGCTTAAGCCTAAAGCTTTGGAAGGTCTTAACAAAGAATGATTTAATGAACTGGCTATTGTGTTTATTGTTGTGCTCAGCTACTTAAGTGTGTCATAGGCTCTGCAATACAAACAATTAATGGTCAAGCTTGGAGCTCAAGTGCTAAGGTCTTCTGCTTTTAGAAAAGGAGAAGAGTGTTTGAGGTCTGTTCCCACTTAAGCAGCAGTGCAATAAAATGCCAATGGATTTAGACTTAGTGTTTGAGGGCTGGGTTTTTTTTGTTGTTTTTTTTGTTGCTTTTTTTGTTGTTGTTGTTGTTGTTTTGTAAAATAAAATAAAGTAGGGCTTAATTTTGAAACAGAGAAGAGCCAGAAACGTTCTGATACTCAAGCTTCTTTCTGCCTGGCATTCTGTCTGAAGACACAGCTCTCTGTTAAAACAGTTATGGGATAGGAAAGATTCTTGGGCCCTGTCTGAATGATGTGGTAGATGCCCTGCCCACCAAACTCAGAGCTGGGACCTGCCCATGTTGAGGTCCCTGAGCTCCTGCTGTAAGACAGCAGGGCCTTGGGGGCAGTTCTTGATGCCGCTTAGCTGAGCGCGGGAGCTTGGCACACACAGGCAGACAGACCCTGCTGTCTCTCATCATGGATACTTCATGTCTTCTGTTTTCCTTGCTTATCTGCACTTCATATTTACCATGGCAAAGCAATAATGAGGAGATAGGGGCTATATGGAAATTATGAATATTGGGAGCTTTTTATTGTCCTCAAACAGCATGATCCTCCAGGGCAATACCCCCCACCTCGTCTATGCAGCTGGCAAAGAGAAATTTGGACACAAATTCAGCCACTGAGGATGAAGTCAGAGCTTAGAGCTAGGGTAATAAATTCCTTCGTAAGAAGAAGGGAAAGACAGAGGCTGCCAGTGGAGCAACTGAGTGTCTGTGGAGCTGTGACTTGGTTCTCGCTTTGCCATCCTGTGGCTGAAATGAAACTACATCTCTCAATTTACCTCCTTGGCCACAGGAAAATAACAAGCCTGAGAATGCCAGCAGGACTGGCCACATAGACAAGGGCTGCCCCTTTTTAACTCCAAGAACCTCTTTCACATTGTGGGTGAAGGGAACAAACGGAATGACAGAACTGAAACCCAGTGGCCAAAATGGCTGAATGCACAATCTTTAAAGAGAATAGTTTAGGTCTCTGTGAAAAATTTTTCTCCAATATTCTTTTATTTGCCTGAAGATACAGAAAGTATCTGTCATGTGCCACATATGCATGCTCAGATAGGGAAACTGTTTTTAGCCACTAGAAATAAGACAAGTTTTTCATATTGCCATTTTTAAAAGCAGACTAATTCAGCAAATCCACCTGGGCTATCAAAGAAGCTCTGCTCTAGCCCACAGACCAGCACCATTCACTCTCTTTACTAAGCTAAATAGTTCTGACATCCAGACTAAGGGACAGGCAGTGAGAAACCACGGGAACTCTAAGCACCTTTCCTGCAACCTGGTAACTCAGTCGGCATTATCCGGATTTTCAGACTTCCTTTATGCCCATCGCTTTGCACAGGGAGGTTTCATTCGTTTTGCAACTTCAAAAGTTCCCCATTTCACATGATTGCAAACCCAAGTGGAAACACTGCTGCATCAAAGGAAAAGCAGAGGGAAAAGAGCATTCCCTGAATGAGGGTACGGATGGCATTGGATCCTGTAACAAAAG